CAGGCAAGAAAAGGAAATTAAAGGGATACAAATAGAAAAAGAAGAAGTCAAATTATCTCTGTTTGCTGATGACATGATTCTGTACTTAGAAGATCCAAAGTACTCCACCAAAAAGATTTTTGGAACTAATAAACAGATTCAGCAAAGTAGCAGATTATAACATTAACATATAAAAATCTGTAACTTTCCTACACTCCAAAAATGAATCAGCTGAGAAAGAAAGCAGGAAAACAATTCCATTCACAGTAGCCTCAAAAATAATAAAATATTTAGGAATAAATCTAACCAAGGAAGTAAAAGACCTCTACAGAGAAAATCAATAGAACATGAAAAAAGAAATTAAAGATAGCCTTAGAAGATGGCAAAATCTACTATGATTTTGGATGAGCAGAGTTAATTCTGTCAAAATGGCCATAGAAAATTTCTTAATAAAATATTAGCAATCTGCATTTTAAAACATATTAAAAGTATCAAAGCGATTATACAGATTCAATGCAAGCCCCATCAAAATACCAATGACACTCTTTGCAGAATATTTTTTTAAATCCTAAAATTCATAGGGAAGAATAAAACAACCAGCATAGTTTAAGCAATAGTGAGCAATAAGATACTGGAGGCTTCACAATAATTGATCTCAAATTATACTACAAAGTCATAGTAGCAAAAACAGCATGGTATTGGCACAAAAACAGACATGAAGACCAACATAATGGAATAGAAGATGCAGGGAAAAAAATCCACATAGATACAATCATCTAATCCTTTACAAACATACAAAAAAACATATGTTGGAGAAAGAAAGCATTTTTAACAAATGGTAATGGGAAAATGGTATATCCATATGTAGAAAAATCAAGCTAGGTCCCTAGCTCCCACCCTGCACAAAAATAATCTCACAGTGGACCAAAGACTTAGGATATTAGACCAGAAATGTCACAACTGCTTGAAGAAAACATAGGCTCAACACTCCCACATATTAGTGTAGGCACAAACTTCCTGAATAAGACTCCTAAAGCTCAAGAAAAAATGTCAGTAATTAATAGGTGGAATGCCTTCATTTTAAAAAGTTTATGCACAGCAAAGGAAACAAGAGTATGAAAAGAGAGCCTACACAATTGGAGAAAAACTTTGCCAATACTCTTCCAACAGGAGATCAATATCCAGAATATACAAAGAACTCAAAAATATTAACACCAAAATAAATAAATATATAAAATAACTCATTCAATATATGGGCAAATGAAATAAACAGACATTTCTCAAAAGAAGAAATGTAAAAAATCAACAAATACATGAAAAAAATGTACAACATCCTTAACAATAAGGGAAATGCAAATCAAAACTACATTGATATTCCATCTCATTCAAGTCAGAATGGCAAGAACTTAAATAAAACTTTGAATTAATTTCTCTGTCAGCTTTGAAAGGTAATGCTTCTCAAGAAAAATTTGATTTGGAGGATTGCATTATTTCAAAATTTGGCATAAAGTTTGACTTTTTTTTTTTGGTATTGGACATTGAACCTGTCTGAGGTTGGGATAATATTGGTGAAGCAGTCCCTTGCCACCTAGACTGACACTAAGTTGAATCAAGCCTGAATCCTACAGCCATAAGAACCTGCATAATCTCAGGGTTCTACTGGGGCCCACATTACAGCTAGCAGTTATGCAGGCAAAGCATAAATTTGTCTCACTGGAGCATAGGTCTCTGCCTGTTGCCAGGCCATTTCTAGAGCACCTGGCCTGGCAACAGCTATGCTGTCTAAGGTTGGGAACAGGTATTAGAGTCCCTTGGCTACCAAGGCTGTTGCTAAACTGTAAGGAACCTGAATCTCATAGCTGCAGGGCCTGCACTCTCTGTGGAGGAGGGTGGATGTGCTCCTGGCCAGCTCCAGCCTTGAAATGATACAGATAAAAACTGAAGTCTGCCCTGTTGGCACTCTAGCCTATGCCTAATGCAGGGGCTGTTCTGTGACCTCTTGCCTGAGTATGTGGCCTTCAGTTTCTATTGGGCACCGAGCTCCTCCAAGAAAAAGCCCTATGCTACCTTTTATGTGTTACTCCCTAAGCATAGAATCTTGTTCCCTAATCTGCTGCTCTTGGAGGAAGCCTAGTAGAAGGAGCCAACATCCTGGCCTAAGACAGTTCAGTGTCTCAGCTGGTCACACTCTGCTGTTATTGACCTGGCCAGAGGAGCCCTGAGGCTTGGCCCATTACTGGGTTTTACGTGGCAGGCCTGGTACTGGGTTTCAAATCTAAAGCCTGGACTTAATTCTGTCTACTTCTCCCAAGCAGAAGGCAGCTTTTTCCACACTGGGTTGTTTACAGTTAGGGGAAGGAATGATGTGGGCAACTCTTTTCTCTTTCTGCTTTCTTCAGTACATCCTTTTGTTCTGTTAAACTAAAATCAGGCACTGTAGTCTCTTACCTGATTTCCTTAGCTCCTGTGAAGGTCATTTGGTGTGTGAGTAGTTTGTAACTTGGGGTATCTGTGGGGAGATGATCAGCTGAGCATCCTACTCAGCAACCTTCTTTCTCTGCCCTTGACACTATGTTTATATTTTCTAAAACTGCCATTTCTGTCAAAGATGCAACTGAAACATTTATTGGTAAATATATGTTTATATGTATGTGTGTGTGTGTATATATATAAAATTTTTGGAACATATTTTCTAATACTCCACACAAAGAGTGGAAAGAGGACTAAATTAACAAGATTGGCAAATTGTTGACCATTGCTCAAGCTGGATAATGAGTGATGAATATGGTATTCTACTTTTGCATTATGTTTCAATTTTTCCATAATAAAAAGATTTTTTAAAACATTATATATGCTGTTTCTTATAATTAGACTATCCATCTGGAGACTTAATTTCCTAAGAAATGAGAATTAAGTCTGTGAAGTTAGCTTCTTCCTTACAATGGTTGATTTTTTCATCTTGGAACACACAGTCTTCCTCTCTCCTGTGATGAAATTTCAACTTTATTTGGTAACTATTTGGCTCGCTCACAGTTTCCTATATTCACTCTTTTCTAAGTAAAAATAATTATTTATGCTTTATAAATAAGCATATGTAGGCAGCCCTTACTGAGAAGGCCTATAGGGTATGAGACTATGAAACCCAGCAAAGAAATATTAAACAATGTGAAAAATTACAATTTTTTATGATCTTCAGGTTTTTGGTTAAAAATGTTAAAAATCCTTTTACTGCAGTTATAACTGCATAGGAAATGATGTGAATGCAAATTATTTTTAAGTGAAGCTAATATTTAGTAGCTATAATTTAAAATATCAAAAACACCGAGGATTACAGTGTTTTAACTTCTTTGTAACAAAAAGAAAAAAAAAAAAAGCACTTCATTTTTCTCTGAAAGTGAAGGAGAAATGAATGAATCTAAAACCAGCCTAGGTTGAGCCCTCAAAATAAGCAATCATAGAGTAGCTGGAGATTCACATTTTCATATCCAACCTTAATGAATACTTTCTTCATCACTGTTACAAAGTAATATCTGATTTCTATTTATTTCCACTTATTGTATGAAGTAAGCATCTTTTCTATGCCTTGGAAAATTGTCATACTTCTTTCAAAGTTTGGATCAGCTTCCATCATTTTTATTCTTTGTGCTTTCAACATCATGAAATATCTGAGAATTTCTTTTCTAAAACAACTTTAGGTTTGAAGCATATATGAATTCTGTGCAATTATTTAAAGACTAACTATAGGCTTCCATAGACACTGGAGACAGCATGATTTTTAGATCTTATAAAATCACTGTCAATACTACTCTAGATCAAAGAGATAGTAGTTTTCAAAGATTATAGCAATTTTAAGAAATTAAGTCTTCAGGCTTCCCACACACACACACACCCCCAAGCAAAATTATATTGAAAGCAAAACTATCTTAGAGTGAAGAGGTAGGGTTGGAAGACTCAATTCTGTCCCTTGGGCTTCCCCTTCACCTCTTCAGATGACCCCCCCAAAATATCTCCAAGAACATAGTTTGCAGGTATCTGTACTCTTTAGTAGATCAAAACTCTATGGTTGATAAAGAACAGTTATCTACACATCATGATGCAGATCAACTAAGATCAGGCATGTGGGTTCTACATAGTATACTCGCCCCTCCAGTTCATCCCAGAGTTGGTAGAAATTGTCTGATCTCTCTGATTCTTTATTATAGACCACTGATGAGGAACCAATGGTACTTTCCAATGATCCCTGTAAATGGATACTCTAAATTGTTCCTGGCTCTCAGCACCCACTTTGAATGTGGCTTTGATTCCAACTTTCAATGACCAACTTCACCAGCAACTCTCAAGCCCTGACCAGGAACGGCCAATACCTCTGGAATTAAAAGGTATTGCATACTGTACACACATAGAATTTGTAGGGTTATTTCTCACCCCACATGCTTTTTGCTATTTTAGCTCCTCTTATGTACACAACCTTTATTCTTCACGTCTCTATCTCCTGAATTACTTCATTGACCACTTACAGAATCAAAAATAGCTGCTTGAGAGGGTTGTTCCTTTAAGGAGAAGTAAGGTCTGGCTTTTGAGTTAGACCACATTTAATGTTTTGCCCATGTCTCTTTGAGTAGAATTCCTTTATTCTCATCTGCCAGGGCAGCCAGAGACAATGAACGGGAATGTGACACAGAAGAAAGCGGATTAGAAACAAAGGAAGACATCCTCTTTTATAGCCTTCCATAATGCTTCTTCTGTGTATGAGAGGTGAGAGAGAGAGAAAGGGGAAAAGCAGGCATTCAGAAACAGGAACAAGCAAATGCTCTTGGAAATTTGAGGCAGTTACTGAGTATTGGCTCTGTGTGTGTGTGAGTGTATGTGTGTGTGTGTGTGTGTGTGTGTAATTCTTTCACTTCTGAAGGTGTCCCTAGTTCCAAAAACAGTTTGAACTCCCATAAAATCTAAAATCTACTTGAATTTTTCCACCAGAATTCAAAATTTATATTTTAAAATGCTTGGTTAATAATAATTACCAGCTGATCATCCAGTCCAAAAAGTTGTTCCAGGCAAGTTTCAGATAATATTCGAACATTTTGTTTCATCAATGGATCAATGCACATATCCCTTTAACAAAATCATAAAACAAGGTCAAAATTAATTTCATTTCATAGTTCTGTTAGGGAAAAGACAGATGAGGATGGTGGGAACATGAGGTTAAGAGAATAATTCTGTAGTATGGGCCCACTGTGCTGACTCCTAAATACTTTCTTTCCCAAGAAGGAATTTACCTGCAGCCCTGCCTGGTATAAGTGGACAGGATATATCACCTGCCTCAGCAAACTACCTGTTAACTGCAGGAAAAATGCAGGCCCAAGGTAATGTTGATGGGAGGAACCCAGGAGACTTTTGTGACCATATCCTGAAACTCTGGGAGATAGTTCTTCCTAACCATAAAATCTGTAAGAACGTATAGTTAAGAATTCAATTAGAACCAGTCAGCATAAACCAAGAAGACCTAGAGTTGCCATGGCAGTGAATACCTGAAAATCTGATGTCATCTTGCTGTCAGTCAAAAGTCAAGAGGTGGACCTGTGTGGGGCTTCCTGGAAACTTCTCTGGGATCCCCAATAAAACTGGAGTGCATGAGAGGCCCATTGTCCCTCTCCTCTGAGAGGACCTACTTACTCCCTTGAGAGTATCTTCTTTCCCTTTTTTGTATCCCTTCAATAAACTCATTCCTATTACTCGGAGTGACACATCTAAAATCCTCTGACTTGATCACAAGAATCATGACCTAAAAGGGGGTTCTTCACACTGCTTCAGTGTCTTGGAAGGCCCCAGCTCTGTAATAATTTCATAATTAAATCAGTTTTTCTTGTGGGTAGAGAGGAAGGGAAGAGAAAGAAGAGACATTTTCCCTTGAGAGAAGCAGACCAGAATTACCTGAAAGTCTTCATACTACCTCCCCAAGATTTTGTTTAGATCCCCCAAGGAGAGTATACCTGCCTTTCCTTATCCTTATCCTTGAAAAAGCTGCCCTATGATCATGTTTATGAGAATATGCTATATTTCTCAAGTTGAGAACCAGTGAACATATTATTCACAGTAAGTATGTGGGACCTAACAGCCTATAGAGGCATTTGTTAATAACCGAGATTAGAAGCATTCGTTGGCAAGACCTTATTTTGATACTATACAATGTGTGTTTTGCCCTCAAAATAAAATATTTCCCAATCATAAATCAAAACAATATTTACCAATGAAGACTTTCAAGACCATTTTCAATGATAGCCATGATCATTCTCTCTAAATATCTCAGTGGATCCTCAGGACATGTAACAAGTAGACCACATAACAGTGCCTGTAGAAAAGGAAACGGAATCAATGTTTCTGAATTTACATGTGCTGACTCAGCAACAGATGGACTTTCTGCAAACAATTAAAAAGTCCAATTAATGCAACAGTTTTTAAAAGTAATCCAACAGTCTTTAAATAAACATGCTTTTTCAATAATAAATATTGGAAAGGAGATTCAGAAAAAGGAGCACTTTTACATTGTTGGTGGGACTATAAATCAGCACCACCACTATGAAAATCAGTATTGAGGTTCCTCAAAAGACTAGGAATGGAATCACCATATGACCCAGTTATACCAATCCTGGTATTTATCCTAAAGAATTAAAGTTAATATACTATAGTGACACATGCATACCCACATTTATAGCAGCACAATTTACAATGGCCAAACTACGGAACCAGCCTAGGTGTCTTTCAATGGATAAATGGATAAATAAAAATGGGCTAGCTGAGCACAGTGGCACATGCCTGTAATCCCAATGCTCCTGAGGCTGAGGTCAGGAGGATTTCAAGTTCAAAGCTAGCCTCAACAATTTAGCAAGGCCCTAAGCAAGATCCTGTCTCAAAATAAAATATAAAAAGGGCTGGGGAAGTGTCTCAGTGGTTAAGTACCCCTGGGTTCATTCCCCGGTATCAAAAAAGAAAAAAAAGAAAGTCAAGGGCTGTATGTTTTCTCTCAGATGTGAAAGCTAGATGGGAAAAAGGGAAAGAAAGTTGGAAGTTAGGGGGATCTCATGAAAATTGAAGAGAGACTGTTATGGAAATTGCACACAGAAAGAGACAAGCACCACTCCTAGGGTTGAAGAACTCAGGTTTATTTACACAAAAGCCTTCTTTGGCTTTTCTCCCAACTAGCTAGTGATCTGAGGTTCTGAGCACCAAGGTTACATGGGGCTTTTATAGGAAATTTGACCTTATTTTTTTAACCATTACAACACTGGTAGGTTTGAATTCTTGGCCTACATGACCAAAGACCATGCACAGGAAATTTACCATAAGTACTTCACAGGTATAGAACAAAGATAGTAGAGAACGCTTGTGAGTATGGCCTTCACCACAGGTAGCAGTCACTCAAGATAACTTAAGTTTACCTCCCTAAGAGCTATATTTTTAAGAACTAAGCCTATGAGGTTATAGTTTAGACAGCAGTTCATTGGCCTAGCAATTAAATGATGTAGCTACATTCTTACAATTTAGAAAGTTACAAAGTATAAGGCATCTGTTGAATCTCTGGCCTTCAAAGCCTGGCAAAGGGGTGTTTACATTTCAAGAGTGGGTAGTCAGACTCCCAGAGAACAGCTATTTACAATCCAATAGGTAGGGAACCCATGGTTAATTAGGTTCCCTGTAGAAATGCTGACAGGGGAGGAAAATTAACTATTTTCCCAGGCATTGGTTCTTTATCATAATGTTCTTATAATTTCATTTTAAAATTACATCTGGTTTCTCCATCATGAGACCAGTAGAGTAAAGGAAAGGGACCAGGGGTGGGAGGAGGGAAGGGAAAGGAGAAATACTGATGAATGACAATGACAAAGTTAAATTGTTATACTGTATGCATGTACAGACATGTAGCGATGAATCCCACCATTATGTATAATGTACCAGTAAAAATATGGAATGAATGAATAAACAAACAAACAAACAAACATGATTTTTCATAACCCCTCTGTATTTATCCAGGGTTGATATTTTGCTAAAGACAAATCAAAATGCAACATACCCTGCCTCTTTCTAAAAATCCACCAGAAAATGGTCAATAGAGAGTCTGTACACTATTGCATAAGGAGGTAAGTTCTTTATTCCAATAGCAGACAGTATTTAAATATGAGGAAACCATGTTTTTAAAGTCAAAAATTTCTTCAGACCCAACCCACCATAAAAGTGATTAAGAAAAATCTACATGAAAGTCTACTGTGAAAAACTTTTGAAAACCACTTGTATTTGATCATTCACAACATCCACAGAGTATATACTTTGGAAAAATTTTAGCATAGGTGGGGGAAAAAATGACTCACCAAATCTAAGATAATGTTTAAAGAACATGTATGATCACATCAGTTGCACATCCATTGATTTACATATTGCCATACTAGTGTCTGTTGTATTCTGCTGCCTTTCCTATCCTCTACTATCAATCTGTATATGGGGTAAAAATGGGAGCTCATAACCCACTTGAATCAAATTGTGAAATATGAGATATCAAGAACTATGTAATGTTTTGAACAGCCAACAATAAAAAATTAAAAAAAAAAAAAGAACATGTATGAAACCTCAGAAAGCTAAATTGTCTCATTTTCCTCTATGAGGTCCCATAAAAGAAGTTTCTTGTTAAAAGTATTAATGAGGCATGCAGAATTACTGTGGATTTCTCGATTTGAGACAAAGAAGGAGGTTTACTGCACACAGCCCACAGAAACCACCTGGAAATCTCCTTGGGCATTTATCTTTTCCTTCTTGGCTCTCTGTCTCCAGTGGGATCTAGCCTGTGTTTGTTGGGGGTGGAGGACATTCCTTGGCTTTTCTCCCAACTAGGATCTACTCCTTCTGGCTTTTTTTTTTTTTTTTTTTTTTTTTTATTTCAGGAATAAATGATCCCATCCTTTTAAACTATTCAAAGCTCAAAGGGCCAGGCAGACCTAAACCTGGGAGCATATCAGTTCTCAGAGATAAGAAGCAGGTAGGGAGGGAAGCAAAGGGAAGGGAAGGAGGAAGAAAGGAAAGGGAGGAAGTAATTTCTCCTGCATAATACAGTCTTTCCCTTTGCAATAGCTTTGTGTGCTCCTCTTCGGGTGCAGCCTGCAGGCTGGGAATCTCCTTAAGTCAATAGCTAAATGTCTTAGACATTGGATCCCTCTCCTTCTCCAGCTCTGCCTCCTGACCTAGTCCCACCCCAGCTGCTCACAGTTAACATTCAGCCCTCTGCAGACTGATTTCCTTTTCCCACAATCCAAGAGATTATGGTTACACAGGAAATCAGTGGTTCTTACCACAAGGGCAAGCTGGGTTTGTAAGGGTGTCTACCTAAGTAACAGCAAACGTGGGTCCTACATGGGACCTAATAGAAGGACTGAACTCTTCTAACAGCTTCCTAAATAGCCCTAATGAAAAGCCCATCAGCTCTGCAGCACTTGAGTGCCTGGGTCTCCAGTGCATTGAGTTTCTGCACCTTGCACTCCATGTCCCCCCCCCTCCATCTTATTCTGATGCCCTAAGAACATCTACATCAGAATCACCTGAGGAGCAAGCTGTTCCCCAAGGATGGGGCCTAGAAATCTGTATTGTAATAGAATTCCTATGCACATGAAAGTGTGAGAACTAGTGCCTTAATGCAGTTTAACTTTCTGAATTTTTAAGAAAACTGAGGTCTGGTTAATGAATATTAGAAATTGCCTATTTCTTCATATATCCAAGCTGCCCAAATCAGAAAACTACTTTCCCAAAAAGTTAACTTGCAGAAGTCAATTTGAGAAGATAAGTCTCTGAAATGTCCATGAAAGCATACTGAACTAGCAGTTGAAATATTCACTTTTTGCCTAAGAAATATCACTGCTTATCTATTTCCATTGGACAAAATATTACATCATGAGGTTTTGTTTATTAATGAATGAACAGTTCATATTAATCAATAGCTTTTTTCTGCTCCATGAAAATAAAACTCATAAAATAATCTAGTCTTTATTATAAGTAGAAGCAAGATATCCAAACGGTCTCATAAGATGAATGTGTGACTCAGAAACATTAATTAAGGTTTTACTACTGTTAGCTAGCCTTCATAGTAAAAACAATCAAGGACAAAAAAAAGACCACGACTTAACTATCACAAATGGCTTTCTCAAACTTGTAAATTTATAAAGCAATTATGCAATCTTCCACTTGCTTTTGGTTCTGCTTTCTTAATCTTGGTCCCCAGTACTTCTCAAATATTCTGAAAAATATTCTAGGTATTAAGGACAAAGATGGGTTTATCCAAGACAGTTGTTGTCACTCCTTTCCACTATTTGATCTTTCAAGGAGCAAGTCAATGCATTCTGTTGGATTTAAATCCTAGGTCTGAGCCAGGCACAGTAGTACATGCCTGAAATCCCAGTAACTTGGAGGCTGAGACAGGAGGATTGTACCTTGCCAGCCTTGACATCTTAGGGAGGTCCTAAGGAACTCAGTGAGACTCTGTCTCAAATTTAAAAAAAAAAAATAAAAAGGATGGAGGATACAGCTCAATGGTAAAGTGCGCCTGGGTTAAATCCTCAGTATTAAAAAAAAATCAATTAATCATTCAATCCTAGGTCTGAAATGTTCTAGTATGTAACTTTTGATGATAGATTATCTCTCTGTTCTTCTGTTTTCTTTACTTAAATGGGAAGGCACATATGTTATAAGAATTAAATGTTATCACAAGAATTAAATGTATTGATATATGTAAACTGCTTTGAATACTGTTTAGAACAAAATAAGAACTCAATAGGTAACGATAGCAAGCCATTATTAATTTCAACCATTTCTTTGTTAATTAATCACCTTTATTAGAAGCCAAGACTTGGAAAAACAAAAAATAAATTTTTAAAAATTTCCTTTATAGTACTCAAAGTTCAGTGTGATGACATAGAGAAAGATTAACTGACTTTATTCCAAGTCTAATGGAAGAAGTTAGGGAAAATGCATTTAGGGGGAAATGGTTAGAGAAGAGAACTTGATAGAACAATATTTCAAATATAAACAACAATATAGTTACTATCCACCGTAACTCCGAGTAGGTACACCACAGATGTAAGACATTTAGAAGAGCAAGTCTTACTTATCTTGTTAGGTACTCAAATAAGCATGGTGAAATATGGTAAGGGCCTAAATAGTGAAATAAAAAAGCACAGTACAACTACTGGGGTCCTCAGCAGTTGGAGAAAAAATTCCAAGTTGCTAGGAGGGATGAGGACATGCAGGTGGGGAAAGAGGAAAAGCTAAGCCTGAGAGCAGAATCAATTTGCTCAATAAGGGATGAATAAAAAT